AAACTAAAAAAAAAGTGACACACACTCTCAAAAAGTGACACAAACTCAAAAAAATTGACAAATACCAAAAAAATCATTCATTTGTGTGCACCAGTAATTATGTTTTTAAAATAATCAGCACGTATAACATATTATTTCATCTTTTTTATCTTTTTAAAAAGTGACAAAAACTTAAAAGGTGACAAAAAAAGGTGACAAAATTTAAAAAAGTGACACAATGTCACTTTTATAAAATTGACGATGATAGTTCTTGGCAAGTGATTGGCAATAACGATCTGCAAATGAGAGGTAGTCATTGTACAAGTCTTAAAGCAATGCAAGCAGCTCAAGCCTTTTCTGATAGTAGGCATTGACCATTTTTGTAAAACTATGAGCACTATCTTCTTTAGGGATTTTCGATATAAGCATCTTCATCCTCTCGTCCAAATTTGATAAAAACCCATGATATTTAATTAAATGATAATCTTGGTGTGTGTGTATATATATATATATATATATAAGATTGCAGCATTCGCCATGGAAGCGAAAACCATTGTTGCAGAAACATTCATTGCACCAGTAAAATACATGTTAATTTTATATTATTTACCCTCATAACTATATAAAATCAAACAAAATACTCTCAATCCTATCTTATCTACCCTACTGCAATTCACAAAACTTCACGCACAACATGAACATCCAATTAAGTTCACTTGCTTAATTGAGTGCACAACATCTAATTTCTTTAAATCAACAGCTAGTGTCTAACCTTAAAACACCATTCAATTACTGAATTAAGTTCACCTATGACCTCTCATCAACCTCCAGCAGGGCAGGTGCTTCCAATTAACTCCATGCTCCAGCGGCTTCTGAGTTCTTCTTCAGTTGACTGTCACCTCGGCTTCTTCTTCTTCTACTTCACCAATCACCAGTTCGTAGTTTACTCCTTCTGCCAACAATCAATCATTTGCGATGCCGCTTCTACTGCCCGCCGATGGTGTTGACGGAAGGAAGGCGGCGCCGTGTCAATGCCTCAAAGGGACGATAGTGAGAGGCTGATGAATGACTGTGCACTGCCTTCGTCCGTTCACAACACCAATTAAAATTGTGCACTGCCTTCATCCGTCTGTGATCTGTAGTATATTGGGAGATTTTGGATTTTTGTTTCAGTTT